ATCCGAAAGTCGAGCTTTCTGCTAGTTTGTCAAAGAACAAAACCACTGAGAGAGCTTCAATTGAACCAGCTCAAACTAGTTCTAACCATAGTTCCAGGTAATAGTTTTGACTAAACCACTCCATTTTCTATGATGTGATCATAATGAATGCTTTCAAATGATATCTGAATCAGATGGCATTTCGTGATCTTGGTTTCTTGACATTATTGAGTTTGTTTCTGAAGCATCATGTTCTGTTATATATCTGGATCATACCATCTTAGTTAAACTGATTCTATGGGGGTATTATATAGCTATTGTTATTGTTTAGCCATGACGAACTTTGTAGGCCGTAACTCTCCTTCGAGCTGCCTTCCTTGTGAAAATCCACTGGGTCAACCCTAAAGGCTGAATTCCATGGTCGAGGTTGTAGCAGCCCAAGCCCACCACTAGCATATATTGTCCTCTTTAGGCTTTTCCTTTCGAGCTTCTCCTCAAGGTTTTTAAAATGCATATTCTAGGGGGAGGTTTTCACACCCTTATAAAAAATGCTTTGTTCTCTCCCTCAAAGGAGAACGAAATATCCTTTAGAAGGGTGTGGAAAGATCTCCCTAATAGACGCGTTTTAAAAACCTTGAGGTGAGACTCGAAGGGGAAAGCACAAATAAAATAATATTTGCTAGTAGTGGGTTTGAGCTGTTACAGGTAAAGACCGTTTGAAGTGTTGCCAAGACAATATCATGTGATCCAAGAAAAAAGCGTCAAGTCTAGACTTAAGCTATTACGATATTGAATATATCTGATAAGTTTTTTTTGGTGTCAAATTCAATCGGTTGTTCTCTGAGATTAGCCGAGTATGTATCAAAACGTACATTGATTTAGACAAAGAAAAGTGATCCATTTTAACTGAGAATTGTACTGCAGGCGTTTAGGATCATCAAGTTCTTTGTCCAAGGATGTCAACCACAACAAAATAGTTCCAGCATCTCCGGAACAGAGAATTTTACCCCTTGCACCTGCTGAAGTTAACCACACAATGTCGAGTTTCATCAAACATGGACCAACCAAAAACTCGAATTCGGATCAAAGTTCAGATTATCATGTTAAGCAACCGACCGGTGAGCGTAATGGCGTCGACGAAATCAGCGAAATCACAGTGGAGAGGTATGTAAGGAACAGAAAAACCCGATACTGGTGCTTTCCGGGCAGTCCGATGGGGCTTAAGAAAGGAAGGAGCTGAAATCTAGTTGAAGGTGAAGCAGAAATGGCAAAAGCTTTTCTGAAGAAGCCACCCTCAACTCATGATTTAACAGAGTTTCTTCTTAACATCTTACTACATCAGTAAAAATATTGATGTACCTTAGCTTTCTTTTTTTTAAGTGATTTTAACTAATAATAAATATTTATTTTAATTAGTGGAACTCATGAGAATTTGAATTATTTTGATTTTATTAAGTATGATCGAGTGCAATATTTTATAATATATCGAGATAATATTTTTTTTTAGGGAGTTCCAAGTTCACGAACTCTAATAACTGAGTTTATTACTAGTAGATATTGTCTGTTTTTCTTGTTACGTATAGTCGTCCGCCTCACGGTCTAAAATGCATCTATTAGGGAGAGATTTTACTCTCTAACCAACGTGTGATTTTACTATCTACCCTCTTAGGAGACTCGACATTCTCGCTGGCACCCCGCTTGGTGTCTAATTCAGATATCATTTCTAATAGTTTGAAACCACCACTAATACATACATATGGTCAGTTGGTTATGTATAGCCGCGAGCCTAAAAAAAGAGAGATTTTTCGTTCCCTCTATATCTCACACAAGCAATTCTAACACACTGTAAAACCTCGTTAAACCCCGGGGGAGTGGATTCGGTTCCAAACAAATCGAATCGATTCTTCTTCCAATGTCGAAGGCGAAGCTACGATCTTCACTTCTCGCCGTTCTGCGCTGCAATACAGCTCACTCAACCGCCATTAATTTCCCAAATGTTTCCAATTCGGCTCTATCATCCCAACTTCCGTCTAATTGCATCTCACTCTCGCAACTTCCTTCCACCGCAGAATGCTTTCGGCTGTGGCGATCCTCTAGATGTGAATGTCTCAACAATCTCAGATTTCCCTCGAGGGTTTTTAGTTCTCGATCGGCAGAGGCGTCGGACCTGAAACTTAGGTGCTGGAATTGTGGCGCTGCGGCTCCAACGTCAGTGGTGTTTCTGGTGTGTGATTCTTGTCGGAGCATTCAGCCTTTGGACCAGTCGGTGGATTACTTTCAGATATTTGGCTTGTAAGTGTAAAGAAAAACAAGAATTTATTTTTCTTTCTTAACCTATTCTAATATTGTATTAGTAGCTGAGAGAATAACTAGATGATGGAATTTGATTATCAACTGATTATGGGAAGGGATGAAAGATTTGAACTTAGGGCTTGATGGGTCTGTTAAAATTCTTTTGGGTCCAAATAGAATGAAAAAAATTCTGATGCATCATCAATTACAAAGCTTCTCTTTCTCTTCATCTTCTGCTCTGTTCATATTGCCTCTGAGTACTCAAAGTCCAAGGAAACTTTGGCTTATTGTTTTTCAATTTCGAGAAAATTGATGTAATCAACCCGTCATGTTTCTTTCCTTGAACCTTCCGCCTCATTTACTGGAGGGCATATGGGATTCTTCTCTGACTCATTGCTAGTAGGTGGGAATTATTGAAATGATGTATAATTAGAATTCCTAAATCTTTTTCCAGGGAAAAGAAGTATGAAATTGGAGATGTCAATCTGGAGAGCCAGTATAAAGATTGGCAGAAGAAATTACATCCCGACTTAGTTCATTCAAAATCAGACGTCTGTCTCATTTCATCTTTGAGAAGTTTGGTAATCTTTTAGGCTCTAATTTTCCGTTTCTTGAGTTTTGTAGAGAGAAAGAGAATATGCTGCTGAACAATCTGCTCGGGTGATCGATGCTTACCGCACTCTTAGTAAGCCATTGTCGAGAGCAATATATATTGTAAGTATGCTGTCTACCTTATCATCGTTATTAATTTTTGCATCTTATTTGTGTTCTAAATGCCATGCTATCATCCATTTCTACCTCTAGTTACTTGAAGTCATGTGATGATTTAAGCTGGGTAATTGGAATGAAACATTCTCAGGAAATTGCTTCATACCAAGTTTCCTTAATAATAGTTCCTTTCCAACCCCATCCCACTTACACTATACATGGAAGTGATGGACCAACATGTGATGGTAACTAGAATTGAACCAATTGATTGAGCTTCTTCATAATAGTTGTGCTATGAAAGAATTGTTTGCAACTATTTTATATGATTTGGTATTTTGGAGTTAAAAACGTCTCGTGTTTGAGTTTTGATGCAGTGGGTGAAGGTAGTTTTCCCATTTTTGCCTAAAGGGGCCGAGCATATCACTCAATTATAGGCTCGGGCATTTGAGTCCTAGAACGGGCATGGGATTGTTTGGAAGGTCTAAATGGAAAGATGTGGAGACTGCACTCTTAAGCATAATCCTAAGTGATGTTTAGTGTTGGGATCAAATAACATTTCCTCATGTGAGATCCACATCGGTTTTGGAGGGGAACGAAGCATTCCTTATAAGGGTGTGGAAACCTCTCCCTAGTTGACGCGTTTTAAAACTGAGGCTGACGGCGATACATAACGTGCAAAAGCGGACAATATATGCTAGTTGTGAACTTGGGCTGTTATGTCTCATGACAACCAAAGTTCTAGGAATTGTTTGCTTTCTTTATCGTCCCTACGCCAATTTTATTTCCTACTCGGACTCTTGAATAAACACTATTAGAAGAGAATATCGGTTTATTTCCTACTCGGACTCTGTAATTTGATGTTTGTGATCTTGGTTTATATGCATTATGTTTAAGGCATCTGCAATCTAGAATATCAGTTTTAATATTTTCTCGACTTCCTTTCTAATTTCCAAATTATCTACATTCTAAAATATTTGGTCTTCCCCTCCAATGAGCTTGTAAGATTATATTGCCATCCTTTTTCAGCTGAAGCTTGAGGGTTTAGATGTCAATGAAGAGGATACAATATCTGAACCAGAGTTGCTAAATGAGGTAACTAGTAAGAACCTAAGTTCGACCCAGTCTGAGTTATTCAGTTCTATGAGAGCTTTTGGCTTTCTGTTTGTAAAAGCATTTTATGAGATCATTTCATAGATCATGATAAGAAACTCTTTCAATGCTCAGACTGCAAGCTTATGTTCTACTTACAGTTGATTTATATAAAGTTACCAAACCCTTATTGCAGATTATGGAAATCAGGGAAGCTGTAGAAGATGCATCGGGATCTCAGGAACTAAACCAGATTCAGTCACAGGTGCTACTCGGCACTTGTTCCGATTATTGTCTTTATTGTTTTTCTTCTTTATACATACGCAAGTTCGGGTGGGAGATTGGAGGAGTAAGTTGCATTTAAAGAATTAAAGAGCTTTTTATGATGACTTAACCTGTTTCATCTGCCTTCTTGTTCATCTAGATGCAAGAGAAACTAAATCATTGGTCTAACACATTTGCAAAAGCATTGCGAAACCGGAACTTCGACGATGCCATCTCGTCTATCCAGCGAATGACCTACTACGAGCGGGTGAAGGAAGAAATTACAAAGAAGCTTTAGTGCAGGAGGTATAATCCATGGAAGCACTAGGTGTAGAATTCAGTCTTTAACTTCCTCTTGAAATGATTGCTCATATCTCAGTTTTTTAGTACTTAAAAGTTCATAGATTGCTGGTTAATATTCTAGCTGTGAGTAAAAATTTCATATTTCATATCAGTTTTTGTGATTCTGATGTTGCCGAATGCTGCCAATCTCACTGTGTATCAATAAGGAGACGGAAATTAAGAATGTTAAGAAACAGCCTACATACAATAAATACTCATTAATCTGTCTTGGAGAAATTTTGTGGGCTTATTACAAAATTTTCTATTGTAGGAATTTTGCGATTATAAAGTATACTCATTCATTACAATAAAACTCAATAGACATGTCAACTTTTAGCTTTCTTAAAGCCAACAGTTGGATTCTTCAACTTCAAATTTAAAAAATTGGTAAGAAAGTCAACCCCTATTTCTCAATGTATTCTCAAGCAATCTATCAAAGCCTACAAACACCTCTAAAGGAACATTCAAATGCTAAAAAAAATATATCATATTTTAAACTTTCTTCTTCTAATTAAACCCAATTTTTGTTGAAGTACATCACGAGCCAAAATATGCTTACCCTCCCTATTGAGCCCAAAGAAAACTGTCCTGAAGTTAATACTGCTGGGAGCAATCCCACTGTCGAGCATATCAGATATAATCCGCAGGGCTTCTTCAGACCTCCCTGCTTCACACAGACAAGAAATCAGCATTGAATAAGCTTTAAAATCAGGAGAAGGTCCATTTTTCTTTATATAATGGAAAACCTTCCACGCTTCACCAAACTTTCCCATGTTCATATAGCCATATATCACTGCTGAGTAAGTAGCAATTGTTGGTTCACAACCCTCCTGCAGCATCTTTGCAAGTATCTCCAAAGCTCTTCTTGTTTGATTCTCCTTGAATGAATGAACTATGAATGATGTGTATACATGCACGGTCGGATTTATACCGACCTGTTTCATAGCGTTCATCTTCGCCAATGCCTCGTCCGTTCGCCCCCTTTGTAGAAGTCCATGAATGATGCTTCCGTAAACGTAGTTATCTAGTTTAGATCTCTCAGTCCCTACCTCTTCTAGTAATGTCAACGCCTCGTCTAATTTCCCGACGCGACAAAGAGCTCGAATATACAAAGAGTATATGAGAGGAACCGTGAAACCGACATTTCGAAGGTAATCTATGCATCCTTTAGCATCTGAAAGTCTATCAAGTTTGCATAAACAACCTAGATAAGTTTCTAACAATTCCTTATCAGGAATGTACTCAGAATGAATCATTTCTTGTAACAAAGTAATGGCTTCATTTACCTTCCTCCGTTTTGATCCGCAAAGGGACATGATCAAATACTTATACGTATTGGCATTTGGCTTGATCTTACTTTGTTTCATTTCTTCAAATGATTTCAATGCAATCTCTGTAAGACCCGCTCGACCATATTGTCTAATCATGATTGTCCAAGTATCTGGAGTTATTAAGCAACCCTTTCTTCTCATTTCATAGTAAAGACTTCTCATGTGCTTGAAATCTTTCCCGAGCCCGGCGACTTTAATCGCCATGTTGTAAGTTTCTGTAGTATGATTATAGCCTGGTTGCTTTCCTACCCAAGCAAAAAATTGTAATGCAGCACAACCATCCAAACTACATTTGCGCAACATCTCAAGAACGAATTCTGTAGTGAATTCGATGCTGCAGTTCTCCAATGCTTTCTTAATTTGTTTCCAATCTGTTGAAGATGACAGGATCCTGTAAACTTCATCAAGATCCTCCTCTCTGTAGTTTCTTGGAAGTGTCTCCGTGTGACAAGTAATACTTGTCGGTTCGGAATGCTCAAGGTTCACCTCCATACGAAGATCGTTTATCTTGGGTGCATCGTCTTCTCTATTTACCTCACATTCCTGTGGAAAGAGTTCAACTTTACTCCTCATTTTCTTTACCTTCTCTAAACTAATCATATCTCCCATTTTCTCCATATAAGACACTACTGATCGAAACAATTTGTCGGGGACAACAATATTCAGTTCGTGCATCTCATTCAGAACCTTGACTACCTCATCGGTTCTTGAAATCCTAAAAAGCTCCCTGATGAAGACTGAAAAGGATTTCCAAGTGGGCTTGTTTTCCATGGTTCTGAAAACGCTCCATGCTTCAGATATATGGTTTTGGCTGACATGACCGGCAACCACAGTCATGATAGCCACCGTATCTAATTCGATCGCTTTTTCCAGCATCTCTTTATAAAGCTCAAAACCTTTCTCATACTTGGCCAACCTAAAGAGGTGTTGCATTAGTTGTGTGTAAGTTGAAGTAGTAGGCAAATAACCAATTTCTTTCATATTTTGAAACAGATCAAGAGCCTTCAAGATATCATTTTGCCTTAAATACCAATTAATGATAATTCCATATACCTTCCCATCAAGAACAGTTTTCCTCTTCATAATATTAACCAGTTCCAAAGCATCCTCGATCCGATTAGAGCGACAGAGTCCTCCAACCAGAATCTCGAAGAATTTCGGGTCGAGTACTATACCTTTACTATTGAGGTCATGAATGAACTTCAGAGCTTCTTTAATTCTCTTGGAAATGCAAAAACTCTTGAGAATGTAATGATAAACATCATGTTCTTGTACCTTAAACAATGCTACCATGTCCATTGCAATGTCAAGAACAGAGGCAGTATCTCCTGATCCAGCAAAACAACTCAACAGCACCTTGGACATTTTCATGTCGACAACTCTAATTCCTTGCTTGACCATCTCACGGTAGAACTCCATGGCAAGTTCAGGCTTTCCAGCAGCAGAGAGTGAACAGATCAAAGTCTTGTAAACAACCCCATCTAGCTCACACCCACTTTCCCTCATCTTACTGCAAACCATCAAGGCTTTTCCAGTTAACTTTGCATTGCCATAGAGAGAGATAAGAATGGTCCAAGTCTTGATATCTTTCTGCAAGGAGTGATACTCCATTTCCTCCACTAACTTCTCAACGAGCTTGAAATCTCTGGCTTCACCAGCAATGCTAAGCATTATGTTGATAACGCTAGTTGTAAACTGAAACCCATCTCTGGATTTCACCCAATTGAAGAACCCAAGAGCCAAATGAGGGAACTTAAAACACCTCTTAAGAACTTTCTCCACAACCTCAGAACTGAACCTAACATCCAAACTTCCCAATCTCTCCTCCATCGAAACTAACCCATTTCCACCACGAACGGTGGCTGCAACTTGATGTACAACCGAACTAACATCATTTTCTTCCAAGACAACCAATTGGATACCCTCAGTTTCCTGCTCGGCATTTTTACAAACACCTTGGGCGCATAGTAACTGTTCTTCCCCATTCAAAGAGTCCTCCGCCGCACTTTCTTTCAACCCTAAATCCCGAGAAGATATTTTATCATGAACATAAGTTTCCGAACCCAAGATCTCAGTAATCTCATTGAAGAGCGACCTGAAGCTTGAAGTTTCAGCCGTTTCCGGGCACTGAGATTCTTGTGTTCTACCTGAACGAGAAGAACTTATTCGTTTTCTTACACGAGTCGAGAAACGAAGAACCTGAAGCTGTGAGAGATGAAAGCGAAGAAAATTCAGTGTTGATTTTGAATATGGAGATTGGAAGCGGATTAGCTTTCGCATTCTTACAATGATCATCTTTACAGATTCATTCCGGTGAAATAATACAATTCTTGTAAAAGAAATTTACTTGAAGTTAATAAACTAAATATACTAATTTTCAACAGTAGCGCTCGTGGCCTAATGGATAAGGCGTTTGACTTCTAATCAAACGATTGTGGGTTCGAGTCCCACCGAGCGTGTCTTTATATTTTATTTTTTCTTAAATTTTGATACAAACGATTGTGGGTTCGAATCCCACCGAGCGTGTCTTTATATTTTATTTTTTCTTAAATTTTGATACAATTCGACAAATAAAAAATCAAATGATCGTGGGTTCAAGTCCCATCAAGCGTGCTTAGTTATGATTTTGCCTAGGCAAGAAATCTCGTCCCGATTCGGGTTTCACTCACAATAATCCTCAACTTCTGTGTCGATGTTTTGATTAAAATATTTATGTATGGAACGACTTTGAATTTTAAAACATGTTAGCGTCAAGTTCATTACTAGCTGATATTGTTCGTTTTGGTGTATTATGTATCGTCATCATGCTCACGAATTTAAAACTCGTTGAAGAAGTTTCCACACTTTTATATGAAATATTTCGTTCTACTATCCAACCACTGAAATTTCACAATATATCTGCTAGCGGTAGACTTGGACTATTTACAAATGTTATCAGAGCCAACTACAAGACGGTGCGAGGCGTTGGTCGGAGTGTGGCTAGACCTTCTCTACAATAGACGTGTATAAAGTGAAAAGCATACAATATCTTCTACTAAGTTATTGTTGAGAGATCTCCGGGGGGAAGGAAATGTTTAAGATGAAGGACACTAACTTCAATGGTCCATTTACTTTTCGTTTGCATTAAAATCAATGATTAAACAATGTTCCATCAAATTATTAAGGGAATGATTCTCTGCTAGGTTCATATACTTTACCTTTTTCATGCACATAACAACACAAGTATTTGCAAAATTATTGACCAAACATAATAAACTAGACGAGAAATAATTCAATCTCGAAATGGGCCTAACTCATCAGTATTAATGATTAGAAAAGAACTACCAGATCATGAGTTTTTGGGTGGTGGTGAGCGTTATAGGTATAAAAATTATACTTGAAGGGAGTCTTCTTAGTTCTTGATATGGTATATGTCCGGTATGAGCCTATAACAGATGATAACGACCCTATAAAAAAAGGATAAATTATGATCAGAAAATTATTAGAAAATGACAAAGAATGATTGTGGGGAAACTTATGCTTAGTAAAAAACATATAAGCCAACAACTATGGGTCCCTCTCACCATCAGCTTCATCCCCAACGTCTCTTCTACAATTATGCTATTAATGATTTACTTTTTCATCTATAAAAGGCTAAAAATTAAATTATCCTCTTTCTCTTCCCTATTTATGTTTTTAATTTTTATTTTAATAATCTACAAAGACCGAATTAAAATATTAATTATAAAAAAATTAATATATAATTTCTATTTTCAACATAATTTTTATTATAAAAATATAAAGCATCCTAATAAAGTTTTATTTATTTATTATTATTTCTTCCTTTCATCTTCATTTAGTTATTCTTTTAGAATAATTAAGGGTCCATTTCACAACTAATTTATCTACTTTATGGGGTTTTTTTAGTTCAAATTTACTTTAATGTTTAAAGCCAAGTTTGCTTTGAAATATTTTATATATAATTTTAAAATATATTTTAAGAAATAACATTCTAATTTTTTTATATGAAAAATAAATTGCCTTTTATCTCTATGTAATTTTTCCATTTAGTAGAATCTCTATTTTTTTTTATACATTTATCAATTATAATTATTTCTCCTCATAATATATTCCTCTCTTTTTCAATATTTAATTTTAAATTAAAAATAAATTATAATTTGATTATTATTATACAAAATGTGTGTATATATATAAATAAAAATTACAAAATGTTTAGGCTTCAATCGATGTAACGTTTTAAATTTTTTCTATTTTTATTTTATTTTTAAATAAATTGATATTATAGTATTTTATTTTAATGAAATTGATAATATATTGATTAAAAAAATGATTATTTTTAAAAGTTTAAAAATAAAAAAAATGACGGTTTTTTTTTTTTAAATTAAACAAAAATATTTATTTATTTATTTTTAAAAAAGGCATGAAAATGGAAAAAGTCCAAGGAAGGAACGGGGTTTGAGTGCAACGGACCACCCACCAAATTGTATATAACGAGAGAAAAAAACGTGAGAGTATGATTGGGTCCTCATTCAATGGACGGCCAGGATTGCCTTGCCTAAATCTAAGATTCCGTTCTTCAATCTTTCCCGCACGTTGTGACAGCTCATGCACCGTTGGACTAAGCGGTGGGGACCCACATCCATCTCTTAACCTGGAGACCAATAATTTTCTTCGGTTTTGCCACGTCAGACTCTGGTATGACTCCCCACCATGCAGTCTCTTTCCCCATGTTCTTAAACAGTTTTTTCTTCTCTGGTTGGATTTCAATCATTGGCTGGTTTGCCAAATTACTCTTTTGCCCCTCTTGCTCTTTTCTCAACTATTTTATTTTATTATAAAAATACGAGTTTAGTTTGTTTTTCAAAAACAAAAAATAAATTAAATAAGGGCTGGATTCTATGAAATTTGATATTTTTGTCTCTATATAAAAATTAGGTTTTTATTTCTAAATTTTAAAATTTTTATTTAATTAGATTTTTACTCGTGCATAGGCCGACAATTACTTTATATAATCTCTTATTTTTAAATTTGTGTCGACATATTGCTTATCAGACATATCGTAACCAGTTGAATTAAGTGGGTATTATACCGACAAAAGTTAGCACTAAAATCAAATTTATACCTTAAATTATTTAACCCCATAAAAGGCATTTAAATTGGAAAAACTTTGTTTTTGTCATTTCCCCACATCCAAACATTTAAAAAATAAATAAAAATAAATAAAGTGGCTTTTTGGTCATTTTGGAACTTCTCATTTATCTATATTTGCTTAGAGAGAGAGAGAGAAGAAAAATCCTTTATAGTTTTGCAGTACCAACCTTTCTCTGCACTCTGTCTGTCTGTCTCTCTGTCTTTCTTTCTCATCAGACACACCATTGTCACCAACCTTCTGTAGCGTTCATGGTGAATTCTCTCAAGCACTAAAGCCATTTTAGTGCTTCCTTCTAATCTAAAGCGTTTTCGATCTGCTTTTCTACTCTTGCTCTGTTTCAGTTTCCCAAGCCTTCAACTTCAATTCAATCTCTGCCGTCATACTATTAAGAGAATTCTCTGATCCTTCATCGGAATTTGATCTCTGTTCTTTGCTTCTTCTGTTTAAATTCAAGAAATTTCAAACCCCCACATACCCAATTTGTATTGGGACGGGCGCATATCGATTTTGTAAGTTTATGTGCTCCTTCTCTAGTCAATTGGATTTTGGGTTCTTGTTGTTTCTGAGAATTCTGTTGATTTTATGCTTCTGTTGGTGTTAATTTGATGCATGGCTTGATGGGTTGTGTTTTTGTTTCTTGATTTGGGTTTTTGTTCCTGTTGTCATCTCTACTTGCGTCTTCAATGCCCTCTAACTGTTTGATGAAAGTCCGCAGCGAATAATCGTTTATTTAATCCTCTGTTTGGTTGTTAATAAAGATGTCTGAATCATAGAAAGAAGTGTATCCTAGCGTAAATATTAGCACATGGAGGCTAATTGTTTTCTTTAAAAGGTTTTGAGGCTTTGAATCATGGACATGGTAATGTGGAGCTTTTTGGGCTGCCACTTTTGGAATTTACTGTCGTCACCATAGAGGTTGATATGATGGGAATGCTTTTTCATTTTAGAAGTATATGTTTATGGGGTAATTAGTCTCAAGGCTTTGTACATATCAAAGGGTCGTTCACTCTTCTTGTGTTCGACGAATGGCACGACATGTTTAGAGATCTGTGATCTTTCATGTATGCTGCAATCCTCATTCATGCTCAACATATAGCTTGTTTTTTGGTCTTTTGCAGGTAGTGTTAAAGTTGCAATACTTTATTTGTCATATTGGCCTATAGGCAGCAGGGAATATAGTTATTTACTGGTTTTCATTTTCGACGTTTAAGCCAAATTCTATCGGCGTTCAACCTGATTTTCCTTCATCTTCAGTTGGTGCTTGTTACATTTGCTCAACTGATGTTGCTAATGCTGGCGATCTTTTCACTTGTCAGGTGATGGAATCTGAAAATGGAGTTAATATGGAGGACGAGAGTTGTGGAGTTGAGTCGCCACGAGTGGATAATTCAGCTGTGGATTTGACTAAGGAGAGTGACAATGTTGACTGTGGCCAAAAAGCTAGAACTCCGAACGAGATTTCTGAACCAGTGGCAGAAACTGACAACCTTAATTCTTCCAAAACTAAGATACAAGCCTCTATGACCGTTCCCAAGAGTAAAAATGTAAAGACTTCAAAGGTACAGTCATACATGAATGGATTAAGACTCTATGGATCTATTATTTTTCCTAATGAAATTGTTGTTCACTCCAGGATCCTGGAACAGCAGTCGGTTCTTCAAAGAACAACAAACTGACCAAGGAGAAACCAACCTTAACAAGCTTTGCTCAGTTTCCTCGACCGAGCAGGCGAGTACTTTCTCAGAGCCTTTCGTTTCCGACGAGAAGGGCTAGTACTGTTGTCATGGACAAGAGCATTGACAAATATCCAGTTAAAACTGTCACCAAACGCATAGGGGAGAAAGTTATTAACTCAAGGACCCAAATTTCTGAGGATGCTCTGCTGAAGAATTCAAGCAAGAATGCGTTAAACAGAGTGAGGACTAAGGGAGTGAACAAAAACACCGTAGAACAGAATCCAAAACCAGAGAAAACAACATTCCTCCCTAAAGAGGATGACGATGTTCACTCCACTTCCTCGTATGGTTCTCATCACTTGAGGCTGCTATTAATTGTTTGTTTCTGTTTGCTATAGTTTTATTAGCTGAAGCTAATTTTGTATTGTCATCAGAGGTGCCACTCCACGGGGAAGTAGAAACAGTTGTCCTGGTTTTGCTTTCCGGTTGGATGAACGTGCCGAAAAGAGGAAGAAGGTTTGAATGGACGTATATGTTTTATTCATTGCTTGTTTGTAGATTGTTTTAGATGCAGAAAACATTACATTTTCTGTTCTTCAATGGCAGTTCTTTTTGAAGCTAGAAGAGAAAACTCAGGAAAAGGAAGTTGAGAAAACTAATCTGCAGGCCAAATCTAAGGTATTGAAGATTGCACACTTTGATCCATAATGGCACTTCTTCCGTTCAGTGTAACCTTATTGTTCAAGTCCTTGCCATCGTCTCTGCTCATGGGCCGCGTGAGATCCCACATCGGATGGGGAGGAGAACGAAGCATTCTTTACAAGGGTGTGGAAACCTCTCCCTAGCAGACGACTTTTAAGAATGTTGAGGAGAAACCTGAAAGGGAAAACTCAAAGAGGACAATCTTTGCTAACGGTGGGCTTGGGCTGTTACAAATAGTTTCAAAGCCAGACACATTGGGCGATGTGCCAGCGATGAGGCTGAGCCCCAAAGGGGTTGGTGGATCCCACATCGATTGGAGAAGGGAACAAGTGTCAGTGAAGAAGTTGGGTCCCGAATGGGGGTGAATTGTGAGATCCCACATCAGTTGGGGAAGAGAACGAAAAATTCTTCTTAAGGGTGTAGAAACCTCTCCCTAGCCTACGCGTTTCAAAAACCTTGAGGGAAAATCCAAAGAGGACAATATTTGCTAACAGTGTGCTTGACGTTATATGGGCGGCCAGTTTTTCCTGTTGTACTTGTTTTACCAAACTCATTTTCTGCCTTCGATATCTTGCAGGAAAGTCAGCAAGCAGAGATTAAGCAGCTGAGAAAGAGTATGACATTTAAAGCAACACCAATGCCAAGTTTCTACAAGGAACCTCTTCCAAAGGCTGAACTAAAGAAGGTTATTGAATTACTTGATACTGTCAGGCTGAGTACTCAGGGGGTCATTCCTTTGAAAAACTCATGTTCTTTTGTTTCTCTTTGCCTTCTGATCGATTACATAACCATATTTTTCATTAATCTACACAGATACCGATCACCCGCCCGGTATCACCGAAGCTTGGCAGACATAAGAGCTCAACTGCTGAAGCGGGCACCTCAGTTCACAGTCCACATCAGAACGGCGAACCGACCAAGTCACCAAAGGCATTCCAATCTAACTCTGAAAAAGTAACCATTAGTTTGAAGAAGGCAGCTAAAAAGCCTCAAACGAAACTCCATCCGAACGAGTCTAAAACTGGAGGAGCTGCCATCAAGCCAAAGTCAAAGATCAACAAAACCGAAAGACAGCACCCGAAACCCGACATTGCAGAGACTACGAAACAGCAGGAGAACCAGCCAGTTGATCATCCTGAATCAAACGACGGCGGAGAGCTGAACTCTGGGTTGGATCCTCCCAATAATGAGGAAACGACAGCCACAGCCTCTACAGAGATCATGGCAGCTGAAATCGCAGTTGGAGGCTAAATGCACTTACAATTCTCACTTCCAATCCAAGACATCATGTTTAGAGGTTTGAAAATTTTTATGGTAGGTATTGTGAATACAATGGTTGTGTCAGTTTTCATGTCAACATAAGTATTTGTTCCTTCCATTTGTTTTTTTTTTTTTTTTTTTTTTTTTTTT